ATGACATGAATTCCTTCATACTTTGTTGCATGGTGACTATCATAGATTCCAGAGTGCCTTGCGTCTGCTGAGTGTTTTCTAGATTAGGCTTGAGTGGGTTTTCCGTCCCTGAAAGAAAGTATCGGCGTATGAAAGGGATGAATTATTAAAACAACCTTTTCCGTTGAGTTCTGTATTAAAAACTGAATTTTATTTTCTAAGTCCCTGCTTAGGAAACTAACATGAAATTCTTATTCTGGTCTTATCTGTGGCCTACGCAGAGGCCGCGCCTGCCTGCGCGGGAGAGTTATCATTTGACCCCCGCACAGGAACCTTTGGCGCAGTGTGAGAAGCATCTTAAGTGATTATCTTCGGTTTGGCTCAAGTGGCCTGCACTTACAGATTACAAGTGCTAGCACCGCTCCCCTGTAGGGTCTACCATTACAGATCATAGTTTATGGCTCTGGATCGATTTACAAATGTCACATGACATGCACAGAGCTCATAAAGTATTATATTTTATTTTTATTAGTGTTCGTCTGAACATTCTTGCAAGGGCCGGCAAGATTAGGTGTCTGTGTTAATTACAATTTATTTAATTTATTCTCAAAAATATTGCAATACAAAATTAGTGGACTGTATTAATTCGATATATTTTATTTTGCATAACAATTTTGACACCCCTTCACGGCTTGTAATTATTGTGTTTTAACATTATAGTGAATTTATTTATTTTTTTTTTTAACATAAAACATTTTTATATCATTGATTTATTGTATCTACAAATTTATATATTAAGCATACCGCTGGGTAATGCTATGGCTTGTAACTGCCTTCGTATTTTTATTTTCCTTATAAAATATACAATTAATATAATTATTATTACAATTGCTAAAATTAGGGATGCATGTCCAGTTAAATGGTGAAAGTCTAATTCCCTTAATTCTAGCTTGTGAGTTTTTATACCCGTTACTCGTAGAGTAAAAGGGTATACTAGATTCGTTGAAAAGTATGTAACAGATAGAAGGAAGCTTTTGCGACCCTATAAAGTATATATATTCTTGATCAGGATCAATAACGAAGTCGATTGAGCCATGTCCGTCTGTCCGTCCGTCCGTCCGTCCGTCCGTCCGTCCGTCCGTCCGTCCGTCCGTCCGTCCGTATGAACGCTGAGATCTCAGGAACTATAGCAGATACAAATCTGAGATTAAGCATGAAGATTCTTGAGGTCCCGGGACAGCGCAAGTTTATTACAGCATCCTGCCACGCCCACTCTAACGCCCACAAATCGCAAAAAACTAAAATTGCTGAAATCTCAGGAACTATTGTAGATGGAAAGTTGAAATTCAGAAAGTATACTCTTTAGATGACAGCGCATCTTATAGTGCTACTACTATCCGGCCACACCCACCCATACGCCCACAAGGCTCAAAAGACGGTTTTCGGATTTTCTAGAAAAGCTGATATCTCGGTAACTATAAGAGATAGAAAGTTCGGATCAAGCATGTAGGTTTCTATGATGCTCCCAATGCGAATTGTTTTTTTCCGATCACGCCACGCCTACTCTAACGCCCACAAAACCCGAAAAACCAAAAATGCAAAAATCTCAAAAACTATAAAAGCTACACAATTTTGCTTAGGAACTCGTATTTAAGAGATGCGTCTGCAACTTGCCACGAAGTTGCATCCGGCCACGCCCACTCTAACGCCCACAAACCGCGGAAAACTGTGGAGTCTATAATATTATTATGAATGCCTTTGTTTGACCTTGTGTAACTTTTTTCTGTTAATATCTATCGAGTTACCAAAGGTTTTTCAAATCGGAACATTATTTCGCTATTTATGAAGAAATTAAGGTTATAAGGCCTCACATGGGAAGTGACGTCACTATAAGCATACTCAACATACTTCCTCTGACAATAGGTGGCGCCTTGGAAATTTCCACTAGCAAAATTAATATTTTAAAATTGTGTAAAACAGTAACGGGTATCTTATAGTCGCAGCGCTCGACTATAGCGTTTCCTCTTGTTAGATTTGCGTTTTGGAGTTTTATGAATACGGATTTAATATCTGCTATATGTTTTTGGAGTGATGGTGAGAATATTATTATGTCGTCGAGATAGACGAGACAGACGTTACCGACTAGATCACCCAAGACGTTGTCCATAACACGTTGGAACGTGGCAGGGGCGTTTTTGAGACCGAAGGGCATCCTTGTGAACTCAAAATGCCCATTTTCGACGGTGAATGCCGTCTTGCTTGCGTCGCGTGGGTTCATTTGAATTTGGTGAAAGCCACTTGCTAAGTCTATTGTTGTGAAATACATGGTCTTTCCTATGCTGTCTAGTATATCTGCAATGTTCGGAATAGGGTATCTATCAGAGATCGTTTTTTCCTTTAATTTTCGAAAATCGATTACCAAACGCCACTTTTTTTTGCCTGTGATGTCCTCTTTCTTGGGTACGACCCAGACGGGTGCACTCCAAGGGGAATGGCTGTTTTTTATGATGTTCTGTTCGAGCATTTTTGAAATTTGCTTTCGAACTTCGTCTTTATGTACAAATGGGTAACGGTAAGATTTTGTGTGAATCGGTATATTATCTGTCGTGGGTATAGAGTGTTTAACGGCATTAGAGAACGTTAGTTGATTGTTTTCGTTGTGAAAAAGTCTTTTGAATGATTTGCATAGTTTGAGAATATGTTGTTTTTCCTCGCTGTTGAGGTGTTCCGTCTGAATGTCTAATTGTTGATCGTCCGGTAATTCTGTATTAGTTGCCGCGGACATGCAGCTTAAGTATTGGTGGGTTCGTTGAGAGAACTCTTCTGCCTGCAACGGTTCTTCTAGATAAAGTGTTTGGGTCTGGTCTGAGTTATTACAGACTTCGAAATAGGCGGATCCTGCGATTGCGGTGTATAAGCCACCTGTTATGACTATTTCATTATCCAAATTCGTGGTTTCATATATAAAGTCTCCCTGCATTAAGTTTACTGGGAGCGGTAGTCGCATTTTGGTTCGCTCTTGTGAGGATTGGGATGGCGGTTTCTGGTGTTTCTAATATGGAGTCGGCAAAGTTTATGTTTGGATATGTATGTTTTTGATGCGGTCTTCGTTAATAAGTGCTGGGTTTATGAATGAGTAGGTAGATCCAGTGTCTACTAAAAATTTGAGAGGTTTTGACACCATGGAGTTTGGTGATAGGAAAACAAATGGCAATGAAGATCCGTGACTCTTCTTGCTTATGTAACCGACTGGTTTCCCGAGGCTTCTAGTGAAAAATTTGCAACATCGTTGATGTTACATAGGGGAGCGTTTGGATTATGGTTGTTTTTGTCTTGGTGGTTTAGGGTCTGATCTGATTTGTTGTTATTGTGGAAGGGGTTCCTACCCAGAGTTTGTCTATCGTGTCGACCATTACTATCGTTATTGGAATTATATTCACGTGTGAAGCGTCTATTATCATTGTTAAAATTTTGTTGTCGCTGTGTAAAGCGACTATTATTGTCGTTGTTGGTGTTATCATGTCGTGGTACGTGGCGGCCGTTGTTGCCATTATTATAATTCTGTTGTCCTGATATGTAGCGTCTATTATAGTCATTATTGGTTGGTTGTCCTTTTGCGTATGGGTGATTCCTGTATGTCGAGCTGTCGTGTCGTTGATTTTCTTGGTCCTTATTCAGGTTTCTAGAGAAGTTTAATTCGATCTGTCCGTACTCGTACGCTTTCTCGATTGTCTCTGGTCTTTGGTTCCTAATGGCTGACCTAAGTGGGTCCTTTAATCCAACTAAGAATGTATTTAGGCAGAATCTGTCATACTGGTCACGTTTGGCTGTGATCGAGTGTCTACTAGGGTCTGCTTCCCTGGCCAGGGACATTAATTCGCTTCTTATTTTAGTGGCTGAGTAATATAGTTTTCCCATACTGAGTCCATCCGGAAGGTTATGTAGCTCTCTAACAAGCATTTCTTCCGTTTTTTTGCTAGAGTATAGTCGCTTGAGGTTTGCTTTGATCTCATCCCAACTGAGGAGTACATCGCAGACACTCAGCGCCTCATCCGCCCTACCTTTAATTTTGTCACGGATGATTCCCAGTAAGTATTGTCCGCAAGTTGCTTGGTCCACTGATCTGGCTAACAAAAGTAGCTGTTCTACTCTACTAACAAATCTATCAAGGTTGTCAGGTGGGCCTTCGTAAGTGGGTAGTTGATGAACAAGGGCTAGTAGCTGTTGTAGATTCAGGCTTGTGTTTGTGGAAGTCGATAAATTGCTAAGAGTATATTTTTTTTTTTTTTTTTTTTTTAGATGTATAAGTATAGGATAAATTTTGTGTGTTTGTTTACTACACAACTTCGTTTGTATATTAATGTGGTAATATAGTGTACTATAATATGTGATACCATGTACATATATGTATCTATGTTTGGGTGCAAGAAAATGTTATGTATTTTATGTATATACGGTTTCTCTACTTATATGTATACATATATTTGTATATATATTATATACAGTATATTCCGTATGTATATTATAAAGTAAAAGAAAACCTTTAGTACGTATCCGATACGCAGTTCCCCTCTTTTCCTTGCTTCCCTGTGCCATTCGTATAGTGTTACTGTGTTTGCTTCCACCTTTGTTGTTGTTTTATCGACTTCAACTCTAATGTATGTGATTTAGTAAATATATTTTTTAGAGGTTAGTGAACATGTGACAACAATAAAAGTTATGTTGTTCGTGGAATGTTTTGTTGTTTTCTCTTCTTTTCTTATTATTATTTTTTTTATATATATAACAATGAATAACATTTTCCTTTGATTAATTTAATTGATTTTATTTCTCTAATATGGTTATATTTCGTGGTGCGTGGTGCGCAAAAAGAATTCAACAGTGTACAAGCCATCGCGGCATCAAGTGTCGCTCCGCCACTCTGGCGCGTCATCAGCTCTTGGCGGCAGTCACTGCACAGCGACGCAACAAGAGTTTCACAAGCGGCGTCACACAAATAAATAGTAAGAACTTAAAATTGGGAATTTGTTTGAACTGTTTGAAATTTATTTCATCTGTATATTTCTGAATTTCGAATGTACTGAGTACAGTGTGGATATTTATATCGGAGGTTAGTTTTTTGATGCGGTCTTCGTTAATAAGTGCTGGGTTTATGAATGAGTAGGTAGATCCAGTGTCTACTAAAAATTTGAGAGGTTTTGACACCATGGAGTTTGGTGATAGGAAAACAAATGGCAATGAAGATCCGTGACTCTTCTTGCTTATGTAACCGACTGGTTTCCCGAGGCTTCTAGTGAAAAATTTGCAACATCGTTGATGTTACATAGGGGAGCGTTTGGATTATGGTTGTTTTTGTCTTGGTGGTTTAGGGTCTGATCTGATTTGTTGTTATTGTGGAAGGGGTTCCTACCCAGAGTTTGTCTATCGTGTCGACCATTACTATCGTTATTGGAATTATATTCACGTGTGAAGCGTCTATTATCATTGTTAAAATTTTGTTGTCGCTGTGTAAAGCGACTATTATTGTCGTTGTTGGTGTTATCATGTCGTGGTACGTGGCGGCCGTTGTTGCCATTATTATAATTCTGTTGTCCTGATATGTAGCGTCTATTATAGTCATTATTGGTTGGTTGTCCTTTTGCGTATGGGTGATTCCTGTATGTCGAGCTGTCGTGTCGTTGATTTTCTTGGTCCTTATTCAGGTTTCTAGAGAAGTTTAATTCGATCTGTCCGTACTCGTACGCTTTCTCGATTGTCTCTGGTCTTTGGTTCCTAATGGCTGACCTAAGTGGGTCCTTTAATCCAACTAAGAATGTATTTAGGCAGAATCTGTCATACTGGTCACGTTTGGCTGTGATCGAGTGTCCACTAGGGTCTGCTTCCCTGGCCAGGGACATTAATTCGCTTCTTATTTTAGTGGCTGAGTAATATAGTTTTCCCATACTGAGTCCATCCGGAAGGTTATGTAGCTCTCTAACAAGCATTTCTTCCGTTTTTTTGCTAGAGTATAGTCGCTTGAGGTTTGCTTTGATCTCATCCCAACTGAGGAGTACATCGCAGACACTCAGCGCCTCATCCGCCCTACCTTTAATTTTGTCACGGATGATTCCCAGTAAGTATTGTCCGCAAGTTGCTTGGTCCACTGATCTGGCTAACAAAAGTAGCTGTTCTACTCTACTAACAAATCTATCAAGGTTGTCAGGTGGGCCTTCGTAAGTGGGTAGTTGATGAACAAGGGCTAGTAGCTGTTGTAGATTCAGGCTTGTGTTTGTGGAAGTCGATAAATTGCTAAGAGTATATGTTTTTTTTTTTTTTTTTTTTTAGATGTATAAGTATAGGATAAATTTTGTGTGTTTGTTTACTACACAACTTCGTTTGTATATTAATGTGGTAATATAGTGTACTATAATATGTGATACCATGTACATATATGTATCTATGTTTGGGTGCAAGAAAATGTTATGTATTTTATGTATATACGGTTTCTCTACTTATATGTATACATATATTTGTATATATATTATATACAGTATATTCCGTATGTATATTATAAAGTAAAAGAAAACCTTTAGTACGTATCCGATACGCAGTTCCCTCTTTTCCTTGCTTCCCTGTGCCATTCGTATAGTGTTACTGTGTTTGCTTCCACCTTTGTTGTTGTTTTATCGACTTCAACTCTAATGTATGTGATTTAGTAAATATATTTTTTAGAGGTTAGTGAACATGTGACAACAATAAAAGTTATGTTGTTCGTGGAATGTTTTGTTGTTTTCTCTTCTTTTTCTTATTATTATTTTTTTTATATATATAACAATGAATAACATTTTCCTTTGATTAATTTAATTGATTTTATTTCTCTAATATGGTTATATTTCGTGGTGCGTGGTGCGCAAAAAGAATTCAACAGTGTACAAGCCATCGCGGCATCAAGTGTCGCTCCGCCACTCTGGCGCGTCATCAGCTCTTGGCGGCAGTCACTGCACAGCGACGCAACAAGAGTTTCACAAGCGGCGTCACACAAATACATACATACATGTTTGCTTGATTTTTGCCAAAGGGAACAGTATGATATTTGTGCATGTTTAATTTATTCTTCCATTTTTGTGTTTTTTTTTTTTTTGTTTTTAGTATTCTTGTTTTTATGTATTTCCTAATAATATATTAGCGTTTGTGTAAATTGGTAATGAAAACGATCCCGGTGCCTTAACAGCGATTGTTGTACACATATACGGTCGTTAATCACACAACTTACTTATTTATGTATTTCATAATAATGCATTTGCGTTCATGTAGATTGATAAATCAAAACGATCCCGGTGCCTTAACAGCGATTGTTGTACACATATACGGTCGTTAATCACACAACTTACTCAAACTTGTAAACTTACACAACTTGTAAACCACTGTGTGCGGATTGTCCCTTTGCGTTGTCGGCGATTGATGTGATATTGGCGAATCGGTGATATTTGAGGGCACGTTATTTTTTTTTTGTTCCTACGCAGAGAGTTCTGGTCACAACGAAGTCTAATGTTCGACTGATCTATTTCTTGCTTGTTGGTATAATAGTTGTAAATTGTCCCACACAAGCAAACCCGGTGCCTTATCAGCGTTTGATGTACACATATACGGTCGCTTGCATGGTATTTAGAATTTGATTTCGTTTGTTTCGTTTATTTTATTTGAACATTTTTGTGTATCGCTCACTCCTGAAATCCCATTTGCACTTGCACGTTATTATGTTTTATTTCCTTTTACAGTTGTTCTCTCTTTTAAGTACGTATTATGTGTAACTATCTCACTACTAAAAGTTTCCACGAGCACCGTTGTCACTCACCTCAGCCTACAAGGAAAATTGGAACGATAAGCGTAGTGGGCATGGTTAATCCCTTGTTCGTAGTCCGGCTGCGCCAGTTACAGTGTCGTGTCCGAGGGAGTAGAGGGGATCTCGTATGAGATTGTCGCTTTTTTTAAATGCTGAAGGCTTGCAAATAAAATGACTGGGTTGTTTGGAGTTCAAAATAAGAATAATGTTTTATTATAAAGAAGATTAAAAAGAAGATTATTATAAAGAGTAGTCTGTCCTTGTCAGAGTTCTTGCGTTGGCGATCTTGTTGTTCCATTCGCGCTATTCTTACAGTTCCCGGGTCTGTGTTCTCTCTCGGTGGAGAGAGGAATGTTCTCTCGTTCTCTCTCGGTGGCTGTTGAGAGAGGAATGTTCTCTCGTTCTCTCCCTGTGGTTGCGGAGAGAGGAATGTTCACTCGTTCTCTCCATGTGGTTGCGGAGAGAGGAATGTTAACTCGCGCTACAAAATAACAAACGCATGTAAAGCGCATGCGAAACTGGAAGAACCAAAACAAAATAGAAACTGGTGATAAACTCGCCACTGCTCATCCGTCTTTGTCTTTGGCTGCTTGGCCCAACATCCATCCCCTGTTGAAGGCTGGCCATTCAACAAAATTCTTGAGAGACAGCAGACAGCCTAGAAACCAAACACCTTGTTGTTCCAACAACTGTCATTAGTACGGCAACACGGTTCAGTTTGACAGATCAAAACGCTGCATCTGCCAGCCTCCAATGGCCACTTCATCGTTGCCCTTATCGAGCTGAGCCACCTCTTGGCCGTGACGCTCGCAAGTGTTATCTAGTTCCTGCTCCAATTCACGTACGAGCTCGAAATCGTGAGCCTCGGCATTTAGACCATCAATATAAACACGAGTCGAGCGCCACAGTGACTCGATATCGTCCCGATTAATTCGCATCTGCTCCTCATACTGGAAGCGCAGCTCCTGCAGCGACTGATTCAACTTGGCATCATAATCGGAGCTGAGGCGTCCGTTGATGTCGCTGTACTCCGTATGGTGGATGCGGAGCGACTCATTGATATTCTGTTAATGGTTCTGATCCTTAAATGACAACTTTTACAAGTCAAAGCACGACAGTGTCTCCTGCTCTAGGGCCTTGCACCAGGAGGCTGGAGACAGCTGATGAAGCGGTCACACGAGGTTTCTTTGGGGTGCAACCATCTCCAGAAACTACCCATCCAGAGCGCGTATTCTCCACTAGAGGTAGACCGTCTCCTAGTTGGATTTGCACAATTGAGAGCAGATCAAAAAACAGGCTGGCTTTAATCAGAAAATCCACACGCTGCAGTCTGTGGAAGTTCGGATCTGCCAGAACCACATTGGCAGGTACCTTCCAGTTGGAGATATCTATGTTTAGACCAGGTCTGCGATGTGAGACGTCACAACTGCCTCAATGCATACCGAATACGTTGATAGGCGAGACTTCAGGCAAACTTTAACCGATGCTCCATCCGTAGTGAATTCAGTGTCTCCAAGGCCAGTCACCGCTACAGAGCATTCGGACCGAAAAAGCTGAAGTTTGCTGGCCAGTCGTGTTGTGATGAGATGAACTTGTGAGCCGGAATCAAGTAGGACTCGACAGGGAAGGAAGCCTCCTGATTGGCCACGAACGAGAATGTTGGCGTTCCTGGGTCACGGAATTTAGAAATGTAGCTTATGCGTACTTTAAAATTGTAAAAAACAGTAACAGGTATCAAATATTCGCAGCACTCGGTTATATCAATTCTTCTTATAATTATTATATATTATTTACATAGGTCGGCATAATTTTTAAAATTAGTTAAAATTCGAACTCCCTATCGTCAGAACGTACCGTGCCCTTTCGTCGTTAATAAAATCGCTAATTCCGAAATAACACAATTAAAACCCAGCATATCACAAGTTTTCGTTCGGTTAATATAAACGCATATTAATTATTAATGGAGACCCCGAGGTTCAGGGATAGGTTTCGTCCAGTGTAAAGAGGGGAGCGGGACTCAATAAAGCTTTTCGCTCAAGCGAATTCGCCACCCGCTCTCCTTCTCTTATCTTGTCTTCATCTCTGTATATAGTTTAGTTGAATAAATAAAGTTAAAATTCGAACTCCCTATCGTCAGCACGTACCGTGCCCTTTCGTCGTTTTTAAATTCGCTAATTCCGCAATAACACAATTAAAAAATGCATTTCACAAGTTCTCATTAGGTTAATATAAACTAATTTTGGTTCAATTTGAAGACATTATTATGTTTTCGTTTTTTAACCTGTCGCTCAAAGAAAATCGTGGAACATTTTTGGGCGCATTTTCTTTTCTTTCCATTTCCGACCCTATAAAGTATATATATTCTTGGTCAGGATCAATATCTTGTTATACCCGTTAATCGTAGAGTAAAAGGGTATACTAGATTCGTTGAGAAGTATGTAACAGGTAGAAGGAAGCGTTATCGTACAGTGAAAAAAGGGGGGCGGGACTCAATAAAGCTTTTCGCTCAGGCGTATTCGGCCTCCGCTCTCCCTCTCCCTTTATCTTGTCATCATCTCTGTACATAATTTAGTTGAATAAAGTTAGTTAAAATTCGAACTCCCTATCGTTAGCACGTACCGCTCTCCCTTTCTTATCTTGTCTTCATCTCTGTACATAATTTAGTTGAATAAAGTGCCCGAAAAAACACATTTCACAAGTTCGGTTAATATAAACTCATATTAATTATTCAGTGGTAACATTAACATCCTTAAAAAATAATGCAATTATCTTGGCTTTGTGGCATGTGGCGTTATCCTGACGCAGAATAAAAAATTGTCTAAACAGACTGTCTCCAGTATAAAGGCATTATCATTTAGAACCGAAAAAGATTGGCGTTGGCTCACTTTGAGATCACTTCTGGACATTACCAAAGCTGCTTATTTGATTGGACAATAGGTATATAGGGTTGTCGTTGATAACGAAAGGGGATTGTCAGAGAGGGACCATACGCGGCCGCAGCTGACCTAAGATGGGTCGTATTTGGGCGAGCTAGGTTGAGCAGCTCATAGCTCAAGTTTTCGTAAGTAAGTTTCATAGTAAGTTTTCGTCGTTCGTTGCTGAGGACAACGACCTGTAGGACAGCTGATGAGAAGCCGGCCGCAGATAATGGATCGGAAGTCGATAGGGGAAGCGACATATGTGGACTGGTGCTATACCTAGATAGCAATGTTGACCTGCCAGTATATGGCACGATTGATTCGGCGCTGTGCATACCGTACAGAACAAAAAGGCCAGTAAGCCTTCCGCAACGGCGCAGTGTCAGGGAGAAAATGCGATAAAAAAGGTATTATATTTGGTAATGTAGATTTCATAATGCATTGTTAAATTTAAAGGAAATTAGAAAAATGTATTATATATTAACTTACTTTTTTATTTTTTCATTCACTAAAAGTTTCACTGAAGCAACCGATTTATTAGAAGCAGTTATTTTTTATTAGTGTCGTGTTGATTTTTGTTTTTCTCTCGCAAGTTCAGATACCGGCACTTAAGCTCGCTAACCAGCTTTCCGCGTGCTCTTATTTGAATCGACTATTGTTTCGGCAACATTGAGAAATATGTTTATTAATGTTAATTTGCTATATTATTATCTGGCTTAGAGTTTCGGTGTTATAAACACAATGATTTTCTTTCAAATAGGCGATTTCTCGAATTATGCCTTCCTACCCGCCGTTGTCGCTGAGTACCTCTTCAATGTTAGGACCAACTGTCTTCGAAAGTGCTAAATGCTGTTTCAACATGGATTTAACATCTGACAACTTTTATAAGTAAATATCGATTTATTTTGAAAGTATAAATGAAGAATACCTTCTGAGTTGGTTGTGGTAAATGTGGTCGCCCCCATATGACTTTTTCCTTTGTCTGTATAAATGGCCAGTGCTTGTGCATAAGCCGCGCCCCAACTAACAAAGGTTGCTTTGTCAAAAATGAAAAAAAAACAGGGGCTTAGGATCTCGACGACTGTTAATTGGCTACGATCCTCTCCGGGATACATTATATGAGAGGATTTAAAAACCAGTACATCTTATACTTGATATCGCCCAACCCATCAATATCCAAGCAAGGGCTGGTGTTAATTTGCTACGATCCCTTCGGGGATACATTTCTGTTCCAGGTTCTTATTAAATGGTTATGAAGGACTAGTGAATTAATTAGAGGCTCTCTAGTTCTCATCATCCATGAGACCAATCACATACGACCTCTGAGTCTTCAGGTGAGTTCAAATAATAAGCTTTTTACTAATTTAATGATATGATAATAATATGATATAATTATTTACATACATGATACATGATCTGCTTAAGTTTTAACCTCATGATGCGCGTTGTTAGAGATATGAAAAATTGTTTACAGAAGTAAATGTGACAAAGAAAAGAATAATAAACTATAAAAAATATTAGAAACTGTTGTTGTGTTGTAAAACTCTTTTAAGCCTCGGGACTCCGATATAGGAAGATTGTAGACAGCAGCGGCCATGGACTTCAAAGGAATGTTAGGCGCAGCATTAACACTGCTCAGCCGGATATGCCAGGACAGGCTATGCCCCCCACAGATTGCGACGCTCATGGAAGGGCAAATGAAGGATTAGCGTCGGCCGCAAGGAATTCCGTTAGAGTCGGGTCGAGCGGCGTCGATGTGAGCGGTGCGGCGAATATGACGCCAGGAGAGGCGCAACGTTTGAGCGCAGCGATGGCAAGATCTTGAGTGAAAATCAGCCAACGTAACCATTAGAGTCTATGACGCCATCTTACAATGTACAGTTGCCGGCAATCTGGATCTTCGGATGCAAAGCAAACGTCGGGAAAAACAGCAGGAGTATATTGACTACCCAAGAGATTGTTTAATATGGGAAGAACAACAAGATGGAGGAGGAGCCGAACATGCAAATCTACGGAAGCTGCATAACAACGTCGGTAATTCCAGAAGGTCACAACAGTCAGACGGTGTCCACGAAAGATAGCTATGACGAGGTCATCAGTCAACGTGGGCGATGCCGCAGTCAGCGGATCCAACTATAAGTAACCTTTCCATGTCCCATAAATTAGTCCTAAGAAGGGCAGGCCGCAAGGAAATTAAGAGCCAGAGCGGTCAGGAGATGCCTCACAGAATCCTTATTTGTATCGATTCGGATGAAGGTCCCCAGTTATTCCAGATTCTCCTCATGGCGTTGTACGGGGAGAACGAATAAGTAGACACATATGCATAGACGACGAGCTCGTCCGAAATCTACACCGACAAGTGGAGCGGGCATACCGAAGCTGAACGGATTAGGGAACGGGTGCTTAAATCTTCCGATGCAGACTTCGCGTCGGGAAGGCTTGAAGACGCTAAGGATCCCTGTTGGACTGGATCATGCGCTTCTAGGAACACTCTTGCAGACTAGAAGCTTTTGTTTAGGGGGACCATAGACAGCATACTCTAAACTAGGTTGGGTAGTATATGGACCACTAGACGTCAGGTCAGTCCACCGATGGAGAGATTGTGCCTTAACGTGACAGTGATGACATTTGGAGCAGCATTTTTGATACGTGCGAGTGCCGGTTTTCTTCCAGCTCGGCGAGAGTGGTTAGAGCCTTAAGTTCGCTAGGCACCAATGAAAACGTCGAGTGCACCGAATTCGAACACTATGTATTGGGCAAAGTTTTGCAGATGCGGTACTATTCACAGCGAACCCAACTGCTTAATTGGCCCTGTTATGTTATGTATCTGATGTCGCGATTAGAGCGTAACTGAAACAGGTAATCGACGCCCATGAAACTGTAAAATACTTCAAGCATTTCCTTTACGAGAGTTTATCTTGTCTCTGTTGACGACAGAAATCGTTCACGTCAAAGGAGCTGCGACACAGACGCAAATAAAATCTTCAGGTACTGTGCAATCACCATGCCAGTGGCCGTCCCTATACAGAAGATCAACGCTGAAACAAGTCATTCGAAAGTTGTGTATAGCCCGAGATGCGGAAAAACATATCGGAAGGGCAATGGCGTGCAGTTCCCAACGCACATCTGGAAATAGTGCCGTTGACAGATTCTCCCTTTGGCCCGAGGCTATTTTACTCACAAACATCTTAGGCGACGGTGGCTAATGCCTTTTGGTAACAAAGGGCTGCGTCTCTTGGGCACGGCACAAAGTTTAGGTCTGTACTCAGCAACTGGCCGCCTCACTTACAACTACGTATAAGTAAATACGTATAGTAAAATGACATGATAATTTAAGACTGCAGATTCGTCATCCAACGCCCTCCTGTCCTCTTGCTGCTCTTTGACTACTGAGATGTTTACGGAACAAAAGTAGGCTTGTGAAACGAATTCTTCGCAGACAGATACGAAAAATTTGTCTAACTTTTGGTGTAAAGGAAAAGATAAATACTCACACGTATTCTTCCGCACTGATGCCGTGAAGCAGCCGTTGGAGCCACCTTACACTGGCCATTGAAAGTAGTACATCGCAAGAATAAACGATTATTTATCTTAGACGTCAAGTGCAAAGAAATAGCAGTGTCTGTGGACAACATTAAATCGGCATTCATACTAACAAGTTACACATCGCTTCAAAAAACGGTCACTAATCATCCTGGCCAGTCGCTACTAGAAAAAAGGAGTAGCGTCTGGCCAGGATGATTAGAGACCGTTTCGTAATACGATGGGTACACTAGTAGTTTCTTAGTCTTGTGCGCAGGGAGAAATGGTGGGAGCACGTCGAGCCCCTGCGACAAAAAAAAAGTCGTGTTCATTTGCGATCTGGCCTACCACGACTAGAGTGGAAACGAAGAATGATTCGTCACACTTTGCTCTTTTCGGATTTGTTGCACCTGTCATATTGGAGGTCTAGTTGAGCGTAACTTGTTAGTATGTTCTCGAAAACTATTCGTAAAGCGGGCTTGAATCGATGTCTGCGAACAATTCGTTTTGCAATCATACCTTTGTTCCGTAAAACGTCTCAGTAGTCAAAGAGCGGCAAGAGGACAGGAGGGCGTTGGATGACAAATCTGCAGTCTTAAACGATCATGTCATTTTACTATACGTATTTACTGATACGTAGTTGTATGTGAGGCGGCCAGTTGCTGAGCACAGACCTAAACTTTTTGCCGTGCCCAAGAGACCCAGCCCTTTGGTACAAAAAGGCAATAGTCACCGTCGCCTAAGATGTTTGTGAGTGAAATAGCCTCGGGCCAAAGGGAGAATCTGTCAACGGCACTATGTCCAGAAGTACGTTGGGAACTGCACGCCATTGCACCACTTCGATATGTTTTTCCGCATCTCGGGCTTGACTTTTAGCGTTGATCTTCTGTAGAGGGACGGGCACTGGCAAGGTTGTTGCACAGTACCTGAAGATTTTATTTGCGTCTGTGTTGTCAGCTCCTTTGACGTGAACGATTTCTGTCGTCAACTGCGAAATGTAGCACAAATGAAGTAGTTTAGTTGGTGATGCACTTTTATGCCGTTGTCTAAAAGCAATAACGAGATTGATCCGTTTTAAGACAAAATAAACTATCGTAAAGGAAATGCTTGAAGTATTTTACAGTTTCATGGGCGCCAATTACCTGTTTCAGTGCCTCTTCAATCGCGATATACATAACATACCAGGGCCAATTGATCAGTTGGGTTCGGCTTAAATAATACCACGCTAAATTTTCTTTTAGCATCCAAGCGGAAAATCAACGTTAAAACAAGCAAAGGAAAAATTTGGCCGAGAAAACATAATGGAATGGCGCAGAACAGGCACAATAATCTGACCAAGAAAAAAATCTTAGTTTCCACATTACATACATTTTTGCAACATGTTTAAAAATATACAAATAATTTTGAATTGCTTAAAGTGTACAGATCACTGCTTGGTGAAGGAAACGGAGATAAGGCGATCATAATACCATCTTTTTGGCGAGTAGTTGATGATGATAGTTGCCAAAGTTCTCATTAATTTCCTTGGTTAACTCTATTTTGTGATATCTCGTGACAGATTTGATCCTTATCATACGGTTAATAAACAAGCTTTTTCTCGTAATTTTAAGTAGGTTCTAGTTAAGGAATAATTTACCTAGGAATTTCTAAGCATTTATATATATGGATGTGTTAATTGTGAGTTTGCTGTTGGGGATTACAATTGTTGGTGATCTGTAAATTACAACAAATAAGAAATAAAGCATTTATCATTGCTTAGCTGTTAACGTCATGATTAGCACGAATATCGCCGATCCTTTCAGGAATACGCATGGCGCAATCCCCTTCTTTTTGACTTAACTTAGCAGCCGCGGCCATAGCCTCACGACGCTGACGTTTAATTTCCAACAACTGTTTTCTCTGGGCCTCGCGTCTTAATGCCGGTGCAGTATTCGGCAGAGCAGTTATCGTAGCATTTACACTAGCATTGTTAGTGTTTTGGGGCTTTTTCGCTTTAAAAACTGCAGTCTTAGCTGATTTCATCGTCTTAGTTGGGAAGTCTTTCATTTTGGATGGCTCAGCCATATGCTGTGTAAAACACAAGAATTAAACATTATTTTAATAGGCATCCAAAACGAACCTTCCATCCGTTAGCTTTAAGCTGCTCAATAGCAGCGAAAATAGAATCCACGTGTTCAACCTGCAAATAAACCATGTCCCAAAATCCATGTAAATCATCAAGTGTAGTTGGAAATTTATCCTCCGGAGATCGATTTAGATTGTTATGGCAAAGACCTAGAAAGTGAAAATTAATAACATGATGACGATATTTTGCTTAACTCCTACCCTCGAACTGTTTCATTTTCTGGGATACCAAAAGCCGAGCCCTACCCGACGCCGATCGTAGTAGCCCAAATGTCTCCTCGGTTATATCTGGATTTGTCTGTGGAATTTAAAAATGGAGAAAATGATAACAAGAATTGTAATAAACGAAACGTCTGTACTTTGAGATACCCGTTACTCAGCTCAGCATTCTATAAATAATTTAAAAATAAGATAAAAATGGTTAAGGCTCTCTACTGGTAAAATCAACTGGCGGCAATTTCACTGTTCAATATATGTACTTAACTTCTTAAATAATGCCCGATTATATATAGCAAACTTTCTGGATTTTAAAGTTCCCGGCAGGTATACATACATACATAAACATCTGTACATATGAATATTTTATAGCAGGGGTGCTCAAATTCGTCTTAAGGCAGAGCATTTACAAACACAAATAAAAATTTAGTGACGCTTTTGTGTTGGTTTGCAGCTGTCCAAAGTAGGGAGGCAAACTTTTTTTTTGCTAGCCAATTTATCATTCAATGTGCCGCCAAATGAGAAAATAAACTCTAAATTGCAAACAGAAGTTATAAGAATGAATTTCAGTTAAGGTGTTCGAGGAAGCCACAGGCTATATTAGAGTTGTCAAGTGGAAAAGCGCACAGAGCGCTCAAAGCTGCAAACCAACGCAAAAACGTCACTAATTATGCAAATGTTTTCATATATTTGTGTTAGTTAATTCTATGCCGTAAAACGAATTTGAGCACGCCTGATTTACAAAAACAAATAAGCACTCAGAACATAGGAGTTGAGCTCCCCTGCTTTATAAGATTGATTTCTAGTCAAGGAGTAATGGGTATAAAAACGAAGACGATTTTCAACAATATTTTGTTTACTTACAGACAAAGCGTCTGCATATTTTTCTGCAAGAGCGGCCAGCGCCAACAAACGAATTTGTTCATCTTTTAATATTTGAAGGAAGTAGTTACCATCCTTAACAACTGATTCAAGGAAATTTCCGGTATTATCGACACATTCCTCCAAGTTCAAGTTAACCAGTTTCATGGGCTCGTGGTCGACTACATCAGTGGAATCGGAATCTCGCCTTAAATGGGACTTGCCATTCGTAATCTGCATCGCAAGAGCGAGGCAAGGTCGAGGGACAACTCTTTTGGGTGACACTTTAGGCAACTGGGCTCTGAACTCATGACTAAGATGCCTAAATACGGGTGGGTCCACATTTCCATTTTTCTCTGGAACAGGCAAAGAGTTCTCCAACCGCACCATTGCACTATGGGAGCAGTTGTATTGCAATTTTTTTTGGAACTCCGCGAAATCTTTACTTGGAGAAAGCTGTTCAAATTTAATAGCTAGTTCCGAGCCAAGTGGACACTTTATCTCTAGACGTCTCTTTTCCAAACGACTTGCTTCCTGCGATTGTGATGGTGGTTGGTCGTGGCCTTTGGTGCTGTAAAAGCCCTGGGTCAAGGCACATGGTCCGTAAAGGCGCTCCACCCGCTGTTTTATAAAGCTAGTGTATCCATTGGTTATTTCAGGGTTCGACCCGTTGACGTTCTGACAGTCGTTGTTCTTAGACTCGATCGGTGTGAACTTGCTTGATGGAGAGGGCATACTGTGCAGAAGTGGTGCCGCCAAGGAGTGGCTGGGCTTGCACTGCTGCAGACTGCTAGTAGAAGGACGGATCGGAGAAACCTCACGCGACTTGTTTATCTCCTGTCGAATTTTAGAGTCATAGGTGGTCAAGTTGGAATAACCGCTGACGCAACATGCTAGACTCAAATAGCTCGGTTTTTTTTCGCCATCGGCGGCTCCATGCGAATTTTCAATGTCCGAGTTGGGCTGCCGATCGGAATCCACAACCACGGGTGATGGCGTTATACGCATCAGATCCGATGACCTAGGATCCACGTGATCTGAGGTTGTGTGTCGGACCTGCATAGGTGAGCGGAGAGCACAGCGCTCCCGAAGGTTGAATGTAAACTCGCGGGTACCGTCCTTCACTGAGAGCGGTGAGGGAAAATTCATGCTGCTACTGGTATCTAGAAGTGGGTTTAGCAGATGGACCGTTGTTAATCAATGATGGGTTTCAGGGAGTTAGGTACTGGGCATATAAATACCTGAAATATTTGAGCAGTCGGCTTCAACATCAAGTGAACAGCTACCTATGGAGTCCAAACTACGATCCATTAAATCTTTGTCTGTGGGATAACAATAGTTAAAAGATTTCAATAAATTCCAAATCTCAAACTTGTGAAGTTAAAATACATATTGTTGACTTTAAAAAGCCGAGACTATGTAAAATGGAGCAATTTTCGCAATATATGTATGTAAGTGCTTAGATGGCGGTAGCTTATTATTTGCCGAGTAAATAGCGGACCATTCTATTGCAAATCGATCGTTCAGGGCAGCCACCAGATTGCTGATCTTATAAAAAACTTTTTTCCCGACCAGCATTAGTTAATATAGCTAAAACATTTTTGTTAGAGCCGAGTTTGTGACTGTATGTGCGTAGCGTAGCAAACGGGAAAAGCTCTAACGGAACATTGTTCCGCATTGATAGTTTTCTGGTCTTTTCTACCGTTTGCCATACCTGGAATTCTATTCAGAGCGCTTTGATATCCTGAAAATGTATGAATATGCTAAACAGATACTGATACATTTTGAAATGCATCCAGCAGAAACCATAATGTCGTCGATGAAAAAATATGCAATAGCATCAACAAAAAACCCAGAAAACACTTAAAACGTATATTTTGGTCGCATATCAAATAGTATTAAACCTACGCAGCCAATTCCAAAATAGAACCTAAGACAAGAGCAATTTAATATCAAATTTATTGCACTTACCGAAAATATAACTTGGGGAATTGGGGTTACCGTGATCTTGTCATTAAAAAAGTATTTCGATTGAACTCCATTGGTATTTTGTTTATATAAATGTCAAGGTGCCGACATTAATTTCGGGGTACAAGAGGAATGTTGGAAAAATGAACACTAATCGGCTGTTCAATTTGATTTAATAATACACCCTACATTCAGTAGCTGCATAAGATATGTCTAATATTTTTCTAAATTAGTCATAGTATAGATAGACTAATTTAGAAAAATATTGGACATATCTTATGCAGCTACTGAATTTAAGAAAATATATCAAAATAATTTATGATATACAAGGCGGGACAGAAAAGTTTCCGCGTCGCAAAGATGGCGCCACCCGTCAATGATATAGTGAATATAGTTGTGCATCCTTCAACAGTTCCTCACCAAAGCTTAACTTTAGACGCGCAGTTTTTAGTAACTGTTGAAGGATGCACAACTACATTAGGAAACATAACACCCTCGTATAACGTAAAAAACGATAAATAATATTTTTTTTAATAAACAGATAAGATATGTCGCAGTATTATTTGAATTCTATAATCCGTTTACTTGTTTGGTAGGTATCGAGGCTAATGCTATAATTCGTAGAAGCTGACCATTTTCTGGTATCCGAAGTGTTGATTCTTTCAAGAGAAAGCTAGAGAGTAACATTATCGAGATGGTGCAGCCAGATAGTACAAAAGTTATGTCTGCATTGGAGGCCCGGAATCTCGCGATAGAATTGGTAAAAGCAATTATCACAACGCGTTTGCCGGAAAAACTAATTCGATAATGAGGCTATAATTCGTAGAAGCTGACCATTTTCTGGTATCCGAAGTGTTGGTTCTTTCAAGAGAAAGCTAGGAAGTAACATTATCGAGACGATGCTGCCAGATGGCACAACCGTTATGTCTGCACTTTTTTTTTCGCGCGACTCCCGTTGCTTGACGTGCAACCCACCTCCCGCCCAACCGACCGAGGGGCTCTGCCGTCTGACGTAGGAAAGATACGAGGAAAGTTAGTTTTGTGCTAAATGGATTAGTATCGAAACATTCAAAGTGTTAGGAGAAGAGTTAGAAGTAATTTTATAAAGATCATTGTAGTTTGAACATAGTACCCGAAATGGTTCATGTTGGGCAAAGTTCGAACTACAATGCTCTAAGGATAGAGGAATATAGTTTCTAGTAATCCTAAAGGGTACATGGATATTCAGGCGGCCTAGAAGGGCCTGGCTATCAATTTCACCCTTAAGAAGATTATGTATAAAGATTACCCCAAGCATCGTCCTACGATTAGCAAGGGATGGCTAATTAATTAGTAAGAGTATACTTTGATAAGAGGGAAGGTATATATTTGCATCCCAGTTGAGACCGCGGAGAGCAAATATTAAAAAATTCTTTTGGATGGATTCAATAAGGCACTGGTGAACCCCATACTGGGGGTCCCAGATACGTGATCCATATTCCAGAATCGGACGAACCAAAGAAATAAAAAGTGTTTTGGTAACATAGGGGTCGTTAAATTCCTTTGACCACCTTTTAATGAAGCTTTATTAACCATAGAGGAAATATGGTCGGAAAACTTAAGTTTTGCAACGAGTAGGATGCCAAGATCTTCAACTGCATTTATTCTTTCCAGAGCTACACCATGCAAAGTATAAGTGACAACTTTAGGTCTTAGGCGACAGAAGTTCATTGCTTTGCACTTAGAGTTATTAAGATTTAATAAGTTTGCAGAGCACCAGTTTTGAAAATTATTAAGGTGAGATTGCAGTTTCACCTGGTAGGAGGAATCGGTATATTGCAGACAGAGTTTGACATTATCTGCATACATAAGTACTAGGGAGTCATTAACAACCAAGGGAAGGTCGTTAATGAATAAAGTAAAAAGTAACGGACCAAGGTGGCTCCCCTGAGGGACCCCGGAAGAAGCATAGACTAAAGCAGACACTAAATTTTTAAAAAGAACTCGTTGCGTTCTACCTGTGAGGTAACTGCTAATCCATCCCAGGAGATCAGTAGGAAAACCGATAAGATCAAGTTTTTCTAAAAGAAGGCCGTGATTCACTGAGTCAAATGCTTTACTGAAGTCAGTGTAAATGACATCCGTCTGAAGTTTATTTGGAAACCAGTGATCACGAAGGATGTTAGTTCCAGAAGATTGGTAGTGGTAGACCGTTGTTTCATAAAGCCATGCTGACTTGGGGATATGACAGATCTACACTGGTGCTGCAAGTGAGGCACAAGAATTTTTTCGAAAAGTTTCGGAATGGCTGATAGTTTAGATATACCTCTGTAATTTTCAGCATCCGATTTTTTTCCCTTCTTGTGAAGGGGAATGATAAGGGACTCTTTCCAGATAGCGGGAAACGTGGACGTTTCCAGGGAAAGGTTAAATAATTTTATAAGGGGTTTGGCCAGGGTAGCAAAGCAGTACCTAAGCACACAGCCCGGTACCCCGTCTGGACCTGGCGAAAAGACTGGCTTCACATTCTGAAGATCCTTAATAACCCCACATTCCGACAAGGTGGGTCGGGAAATAAAGTTAGACCGGGGGATATCGTAAGCGTAAGTCTGCGCGTTTATTAACAAAGGTGAATAGGTAGTTTGAAAAAACTGTGCAAAAAGATCGGCAATTTCCTGATCCGTGCTTGCAGTAGATTTTCCAAACGATAGCAAAGACGGAAAGGTTTTAGATTTACTCTTAGTGTTAACAAAACTATAGAACTGTTTCGGATCCAGGGCAAACTGGTTCATACATCGAGCTAAATAGTTCTAATAACACTGAGTGCTATGCACGGTAAAGTTAGACCGAGCCACCATATAATGCACGAAACAGTCATTGCTATTAGTTCTTAAGTATTTTTTAAATAATCTTAAGTTGATATTTTTTAGGATAGAAAGTTCCCTTGTATACCAAGGGGGCTTATCCGCCATAGCCGGATACCGCAACGGAACAAAGCAATCAAAAATTAGGTTTAATGTACTATAAAATATATCTAGACATATCGGTGCATGTCGACATATCGGTGCATGTCGACATATCGGTGCATGCGTACAAATCGGACCAGTCAAATTCTGAAATAAAGTTATTCATTTTTTTAAAGTCGGCTTTACGAAAACATCGAATTTTCTTATCAGCGTAATTGTTCTTAGGCTTAGTGCATAGCCCCGCATCGATCGTAAGATCTAATGTTGGTTGATAAGGATCTTCAGGGAGTGTGAGAGGTAGTGCTCTGTAAATGGATACGGCGTCCGTATCGGAGAGAAAGCACAGATCGAGCAAACGACCTAAAGAGTTCCCTATATGATTAATTTGAGCCAGTGACATGTCTAACATGCCAGCAGTAAAGTCGTGATGCGACATAGGTGTTAAAGCTAAGGTGTTATCGTTCATGGACCAAGCCACCTGGGGTAGGTTGAAATCACCCAACACCACCAGCTGATCCATGTCCGATAACATTGAGAAGACAGACTGAATGGCTGCTAGGTGCCGCTCATATGTCAAGGAATCGGACTTTAACCTAGACAATGAGATTTTAACTGTGATAAATTCTAAGTCTCCAGTTTGAAGATTTATCACCTCGGAAACGAGATTAGAGTCCACTGAAATTAGGACTCCACCACCAGAATTAAGAATTTCTGGAGTTAGCTAGGTTTCGGCAAACACAATGACCTGGGATGCAAACGAGAAGCTTACCGAGAACAAATTAGAAAGTATAGAGCGTAAGCCTCTTGTGTTCTGGTGCGAAAGAATAATGGATGATGTTAGTTTTTTAGGTTGGTAGGCGCGTTTACTGGTGGAAGCTTTACTCCTAAAGGGCGACTTTTTTTCTTCTTTTTATTTTTAAGCTGATGTTCTTGAACGAAAATATGTAGCGGCCAGAAATTGGTCGAACAGATATCGTCAAAAGCCATCTGGGGAACACGAATCTTGAAAGATGTCACGTTCCTAGCGTAGGAATATTTATATTTAGTGATATTTTCCACCCTAATATCGACTTCAAGTTTTGCTTGAATGTAAGCTAAGACGTCCGATTCGGACGTATCAGCGAAAAGCCGGGAAACTAAAATGTGTTTCTCTAGGGGAATACCAATCAAGGGCTTTGGCGGGGCGGGTGGTTTACCCACGCTACCAGTGGGTGCCGGTAATCCGGACCCTAAGTTCCTCTGGTGAGTCAAGGGTAAATTCTTTTGGGCTTGTAGAACATTTGGCATGGGAGGGTCCAATGCGACTACCTCGGACTGCTCATCGGACAAACGCCTACGCATCCTAGCAACATTTTCGGGATCCGAAATATGGGCTGTTACCGGTGTCGTCACGATTGGAGTGGAAGACGGCAGCGGTGACAATGAAGGAGACTGTTGAACATCAGACGGAGGGAGAAGGGAGTTATTAGCATTAACCGCCGGCGGCAAACGGGACGTTTTTTTGCATTGTAAATTGTTGAATTGAATGTCCAGCGCAGAAAACAGGTCGTTAGTTTTTCGAAAAGCAACCAATACCTGACCGAACCCATTTTTAGTCTGCCGCATAAAAGATCTAATTTCCTTCTGGGCCTCACGACATCTGTCACAACAGTAGTGTAAGGCAGAGTCGGAACGACTCAAAGCATCCGGAATGGTGGCTGACTTATACCCTGCACACTTGGAGTGCGCAATGTTATCACACAGCCAACAGTGGACGATTACTTGGTCAACCGACACAATTTTATTGCATTTTTTAATGCAACAGATAATATCAGACATTTTGGCAAATTATTAGTAAAATGTAAACCACTGTGCCAGAAAAATATTATAGGGAAGAAGCGGTGAAAGTTCCGTTACTAATAGCACAAAGTAAAGTAAAAAAATATGTTAGAATACAGACCGCAGTTGTTGATATTTGTTTGCAATAAATGCTTTATGCAAACAGATAACAATAAAATGCACTGCACGACGCGGAATCGAAAGACGGTTTTTTTCAAGTAGATAAACGTTTGCAAAAAAGGAGCAAAAACGAGGTGATTCGGGAATAAATTTAATGATTAAATCGCTCGAGAAGACGCAAAAGCCAAAAACACAACCGTTCGCTTT